CTGGGGATTTGAACCCACCACCTTAGGTGTATGTGGCTGGCGCCTTAGCCACTTGAGCCACAGGCGCCTCGCCGATCATACTGTTTTCTGATCTACTGTTTCTGAGGCGTATCTCTCATTTACACTTTCCATTTTGGGGTGGCAATGATGGAGTCTTATTCACAGTCAAATCAGTGAATCTTTTTTGATTCAACGAATTTTTCACTGTGTGTGTGTTCCACAGTGCATAGCACAGTGGTGGGTATAGAACAGAACAGATATTTAACATATTCTTGTAGAAAAAGAAATACTTGCTAATTTAACATAAGCTCTCCGGTTGATTTGCAGTTTTATGTATGGGGAGCTGACGGATAAAGATACAATTGAAAAGGTGCGGCAAACATTTGAGAACTACGAGATGAATTCCTTTGAAATTTTGATGTACAAGAAGAACAGTGAGTATTCAGCCCTTCTGAACCATACTTTTATGTGTTTGAAATAGTAAAATAGCTTCTTTTCTTCTGTTTTCTTTCCTTTTTTTTCTCTCCCACTAGCTAAATGTTGTTACTTGAAGCCATTGCGTATGTTGAGACAAAACATTATTGATTGGTTCTATTATTCTTCTCAGGAATATTTGATGAGCTTCTTATAATGAATGCTAAGACTTTATCTGTTTTGTTGCTGAGGTAGTGCTTTTCCTATTGGCTTGCTTACTGGTGAATTGCTGGCTTAGGGCATTCACAGACTTCAAATCTTTTTAAAGCAGGAGGGAAAAGGCAGGACAGAGTTCACCTTTATCTATCTCCCACAGCACCTAGCACAGCAAGTAATATCAGTAGGCACCAATTAAGAGTTTCTGAATAAAATTTTATTTTCCTGGTCACCCCAGGAGATAGTATTAACCATAGCGCATCATTAATTTGTATTTGTTTTGGCTACAATTGCTTCCACGAAGCATGTTAATGAGGTTTGTAGGTCAACAGCTATATACAAGGATAATATAAAACTTGCTTTTTCCTTAGGAGGTTTCCTATCCAATGGGGATTAGCAGAAGTATGGAAAGTGGAGCTTCTGGCCCTGCTGCAGAGGTGTTAATAGTGCTTTGTTTCTCTTTTAAAGGCATTATTTTGTTTGTAAAGAATTCTAGTTGTTATATGTAGAATTAACTGGCAGGTAATTGGTTCAATAGAACATATCCAGAGTGGCTCAGATGGCACAGGAGGATAAGTGTTTATTTTCGTGGCTTTCAGGTCTGAGTGATATTTTGGTCTGGATGACAAAGTACACATGTTGCTTTTATCTAGAAGGAGCTGGGACAGTTTTTTCATTCTGGGGTGTTGGAGCAAGTTACTAAAATCACTGTTTGCTTGGTGGCCTGTGCAGACGCTGATTTGAGAGATTAGCACCGGCCATCAACAGGCCCCAAGGGGTCATTCCCAGAGCCTGCACGTTGGAGTTGTGGCTTTGCTCCAGCTCGCTCCCTCTGCCAGGAGGTCTAGTTCCCACCCTGCCATTAGCTTACAGAGGAATGAGGTGAAAGACTGTGAAGGGCTTCATGAAGGGCTTCATAACAGTCCTTCCACTGTGGGGGAACACAACTCAGAGCAATATCTCTTACCAGAAGCATGTCAGCAGTGGCCTTCTCATGGGAAGACGTGGTCTGCACATGTGCTCTGAGCTAATGGAGTAAGTTAAAGGTTTCCCATACTAACAGCTTTGTGTAGCGAACAGCGTGGCTTTCCCCATGACACAGAACACTAATTGGTGATACACTCGGTGTATCACATGAAGCATGCCCTGCATTTACATTTTGCTTTAGAGTTTTTGTGCTTCGTTAGATATGCATTTTTAAGTTGCCCAAATTCAACTATAGATGTTTGGCACAAAAGGGAGGGAGAGGGCTACATAATTTAAATTGTGTTAGTGATTGCACTTGCCATTCTTGTCAGTGAGCATGTGCCCCTGAGTGACTATGATATTGGAGAGGGGAATCTGCCGTTTCTCAGTGACCTTGGGGGATGAAGCCCTGCATTATGGGTATCTTACAGCACTGAAAGTGATTTTGGTATTTGAAGTTCTGTACTTTAAGTAGACATGAATTCTCTATGGAAGCCAACTAATTCGGCTGGTAGGCTGCCAAAGATTCAGAATCTCTTCCCTCTCTGGAGGTTGTGGTGGGCTTTTTGAGGGATCAATGTCTCCGAAGTAGCATGTCAACCTAGGTACGGGGCTCCATTTTATGGGTGACAGAGTAGCTGTCATCATACTCAATTATTACCTTAGCCTTTAACTTTAGAAAATAAAACATGTATGAGCTATGACTATTTTTTTTTTAATTTCCGATTGATATGAGAGTACAAACGATGAGGTTCATTGTTTGCATTTGTAGGCAAAGTCCCCGTCGTAGTTGAGCCCTTCCCCCTGGGGGTGTGCTGTTTACCCCTACACTGTGCTGAGATCAGACTCTATTTTAAAATGTTGATTATACCTGTGAAGTAGGTATGGCTGAAGTTAAATTCCTCACCCAGTGTCATGTAGTGCCAGGACCTGTTGTACAGTGTTTGCTCCATGGCCATTGTTCAGTCTAATTGTGGGTACAAAGCAGGGCTAAAACATATGGTCATGCAGATAATACCCTGCATAGGTGGAAACCAGCTGGTGGTTTGCTTGCTGAGTCTCCCTTGCACCCTGGTCTGGAAACGCTGTGTGTTAAGGAAGAAGTTTCTCTATCTAATTTATGCAAAGATGACTGGTGGACGAGCAGGGGCTCTACACAAGACTAGCACTGTACATAAAATATGAAGCATAAAACTGGGGAAATTACACAGATAATGTAGATTTCTTCCTAAGACCTGCTCACTATCCCTAAATCCCTCCAAATCTCACCCTCTCCTGAAGTATTTAGAAACTTATATTATTTGTTGAGTCTGGGAATTATCTAGTTATGCCAAATTCTATGTTTTTTTCAATAGCTTTTATTGCCCCACTACGCTGCATCAGACACTAGGATGGCTACTAGGAGTGCAGTTATGAAAACACAGACATGGTGTCTGCCGTTACAGCATCTGCAGGGTGGAGGCAACAACCACAGAATAGAACCATACATGCTTTGATGGTGATACATCATAGGTGGGTCACTTGGCCCCAACATAGGAGGTCAGGGAAAGAAGTCTTTTTTTTATTTTTTTGAAAAAGAGTCTTATTTTATCACCTTTGGTAGAGTGCTGTGGCATCATAGCTCACAGCAACCTCAAACTCGTGGATTCAGGTGATTCTTTTGCCTTAGTCTCCCGAGTTGCTGAGACTATAGGACCCCTCCACAACACACGAATGAAAAGAAGTCTCTTTAAGGACAAGTGGGAGTTAGACAAAGAGAGTTAGATGAAAGAGTATCCCAGCCTGGTGAAACGCATGTGAAGAAGGCAGCAGTGGAGAGAGAGCACTGAGGTTTCAAGAGATACAAAGTTCAGGTGGCACCTGTAGCTCAGGTGGCAGAGTGCTGGCCACATATAGCAAGGGTGGCAGGTTCGAACCCAGCCCAGGCCAACTAAACAACTGCAACAAAAAAATAGCAGGGCATTGTAGCAGGTGCCTATAGTCCAGCTACTTGGGAGGCTGAGGCAGGAGAATCACTTCAGCTCAAGAGTTTGAGGTTGCTGTGAGCTGTGATGCCATAGCACTCTACGGAGGGCAACATAGTAAGACTCGGTCTCAAAAAAAAAAAAAGAGATACCAAGTTCAAACTCTGATGGGCATAGGAAGTCATCTGGAATGGAAAGGCATATTTGTAGGCTGTGAGTCTGGCAAAGGGTCTGAGGCTGTGCTCCCAGGTGATACTGATGTTGTTGGTCCATGAAGTAGACTTTGAGTAGCAAGCACTGGAAGCAGCTGAAGTGAAGACTGACTTCCATGCCACCAGGGTGTGTCTCTTTTGTGGCTGTATCCTTTGTACCCAGCCCAGTGCCTGACAAGTAGAAAATACTCTGCCAAAACTCATGGGAGTAAACACATACATAAAGGAGGGGTAACCAATGAGGCCAGAGAGGCTAGGAAGAGTCAGTCATGCAGCCAAGTTAAAGTTTAGAATTTGCCTTAAGAGCAATAGTGATGGGGGAGAGCGTGAGGGTAAGGGACATTGAGGGGTTTTAAGCAGGGTATCATCATTTTATTTTAGAAAGATGGCCCAGGCTGGGGGTGATGGCTCGGGCCTGTAATCCTAGCACTCTGGGAGGTGGAGGTAAGTGGATTACTTGAGCTCAGGAGTTCAAGACCAGCCTGAGCAAAAGTGAGACCTCATCTCTACTAAAAATAGAAAAACTAGCAGGGCATCCTGGTGGCACTTGTAGTCCCAGCTACTGGGGAGGCTGAGGCAAGAGGATTGCTAAGCCCAGGAGTTTGGTTTGAGGTTGTTCTCTGTAATGATGGCTGCACTAGATCCAGGGCACCAAGTGAGACTCTTATCTTAAAAAAAAAAAAAAAA